GTGTCGTGGCGGTGGGGAGGCGGAGTGGACTCCGCAGAACCAGGGTCAGACTCCTCCGACTCAGCACCCCCAGAACCAGCACCTCCAGTGCCCGGACGTCCAACTCCAACACCCCCAGAACTAGCACCGCCAGTGCCAGCACCTCCAGCTCCTGCACCCCCAGAACTAGCACCACCAGTGCCAGCACCTCCAGCTCTAGCAACCCCAGAGCTAGCGCCACCTGCGCCAGCACCTCCAGCTCCAGCACCCCCAGAGCTAGCGCCACCTGCGCCAGCACCTCCAGCTCCAGCACCCCGCGACCGAGTACCCCCAGACCGAGCACCGCCAGTGGCTGCACCTCCAGCTCCAACACCAACCGAGTCCACAGTAACCTGTCGCGGAAGTGCCGAAGGCTGCTGAGGGGACTGTGAGGAGGACTGCGGGGAGGGAGACGCTACCTGACGCGCGACCGAGGGTAGAGGGGTAACGTGGGACACACCAGACGGGGCAGGACCAGGGGGGGGCGGGGGTACCGGAGGAGCGGGAGCAGGAGGAGGAGAGGGTGCGAGGAAAAGAGGGGGAGGGGGTACCGGGAGACCTCGACAGGGGTACCGGGTGTAGTAGGACACGGACTCGTCAAACTGGACGTCACGGGAGTCGAGGAACTGGTGGAGGGGAGGGTGGTAAAAGGACCAGTCGGCAGAGTCCACTGGGAAACCAAGGAAGACACAGGGGACGGCGCGTGCCGAGAGCTTGTCCGCGGAGGTGTCGCGAACAAGTGCAAGGCAGCCCCAGACTCGAAAGGCCGACCCGACACCAGGGGAACCAGTCCAAAGACTGGTCGGTGAAACCTCGGGCCGCGAGACACGCGGCTGGAGGTTCAGCTGGTGTGCGGCGTAGCGAACCGCGTAGGGCCACAGAAAATGGGGCGCACGGGCATGGATCATGGACGAGCGGGCGATGTCCATGACCAAGCCTATGCGGCGCTCAGCAACCCCATTCTGCTGTGGGGACTCTGGCAGCGTCCAGGACTAGGTGATGCCCTGTTCGCCGCAGAATCCGCCGAGAATGCCGGAGCGAAACTCGCCCCCACGGTCGGAGTGGAGACAACTGAATCGACGACCACGAGTACCCTCAGTGGCTAGAAGCCACCTGATCAGCGTAGCAGTCACCTCGGACTTCTTCGCAAGAGGGAACACTGTGGTGTACCTGGAGAAGTCGTCGACGACCACCAGAAAGTAACGCTCCCTCCCAGACCCCTGCGTCGGGGCAGGGCCCCAGACGTCCAAGTGGAGAGTCTCGAAGGGAGCGGTGGCCGGACAAAGGGAGGAGGAGTGGGGAGTGGCGCGTAAGCGACCGGCGACGCACGGAGAGCAAGGAGGGGCAGGCGAGAGAGGGAGCGACGGGAAGGTGCGTGGGAGACCTGAGACAAGTCCCTGACTGAGCATGCCACGTAGGCGAGGGAGCGACGGGTGGCCAAGGCTGTGGTGCCACAGGACGGTGCGGTGGGTGAGAGAGCGACAGGAGCAAGACGCAGCGACTGGACTGGACACAGCGACCGGACCGGACACTACTACCTGGCTAGACACAGCAACTGGACTGGGGACCTGGGCCGGAGGGGACGCAACGACCTGAGGGGAGGACGCGACCGGGGAGCGCTCGGTGTGGAGGACGTAGAGACCGGAGCGGGGATCCCTGGTGAACGTGGCCAGAACAGCACCTGTGGTAGCGTCTGTACAGACTGCAGTCCGCCCACCCCCCACGAAGGTAACCGTGATCCCCCTGTCCTGGAGGTATCCAACACCCACCAAGTTCCGAGTGAACGAGGGGATGTGGAGGCCGCGCAGGACACCAGAGGGGACCACAGGGCACGGGAGGGTGGTGGAGCTACGCGCAACGGCTGGTCCAGAGGTAGGATCAGCCAGAGCCACCGACACAGGTGTGAGGAGTGGCGTAAGGGTCGTGTGGTCGCGGAAGAAACACTGAGACGCACCCGAGTCCAGCGTGAACGACAGAGAGGCCTCAGCCAGAGGGTCACCAGACCCAGTCGCTACACAAGCACCTAGAGCAGCAACACAAGCACCTAAGCTAGACAGGCACAAGGCTACACTAGCAGGATGCAAGCAGGCTAACCTACAAACACGCGAGCACACAGATCCATCAGCACTAAAGTCAGCATCAACATACAAAGCATGCTGACGCGCATCGTCCATGGACAGATCAAAGACATCAATCTTACGGGCTAACAGACGAGACCAGCGAGGCGTGACCGCCAGAGGGCCCCAACGAGCCCGGTAGAGGTCGTCGAGGCGGCGGAAGAACCGCGCGGCAGAGTGGTCGTCGCGACCACAGAGACAGGGGCTGCCCGGCCCGGTGACGCACCAGTGGGTGCAGGGGCCAGCGTCACGGCGAGGGGGGCGAGGGGCCCAGCTGGAAGAGCTGCTGCTGCGGCCGGTGCTCCCAGGGCCTCCCGGACCCCACTGCGGCGGGGGACCCCAGTGCTGCTGCGGACCCCACTGCAGCGGGGGCCCCCACTGCTGGAACTGCTGCGGTGCCTGCTGCTGCTGCTGTCCCTGCTGTGGCTGGTGCTGCTGTGGCTGCTGCTGCTGGGGGGCAACGCCCCCACCGGTCGGGCCACCACCTGTGGGTGGGCCTGTCTGTCCTGCACCTCCTCCAAGGCCCCCTCCCCCTGGTGCACCACCGCCGCCGCCGCCGCCGCCTCCGCCACCACCGCCGCTCCCACCTCTACCGCCACCTCCACCGCCGCCTCCACCGCCCCCACCTCCCCCCTTCCCGCCCTTCTTGCCACTCTTGCCCCGTTTCTTCCAGTCTGCGGCCGAAACGGCAGCAGTGTCCTCAGAGACCGACACAGGAGCAGAAGCGGGTAGCGGTGAAAGTGGGAAGCTGAGGGGCGGCACACCCCGCAAAGAGACGGGGGGCCACCGCATCAGTGGCGGAGGCAACGGTGAGGAGACTGCTCTCGATGGTCCCTAGAGCAGTCGCTAGGAGGTCGATAGTGAGCTCAGTGGGGTGCTTCTGAAGAAGCGTGTCGCGGGCAGTGGCAAGGCGGTCAGGGAGGCGGGTGACTAACCAGTGAACAGTGAGCCACATGGGGGGGGGAGCAACAAGAAGCTGTGCGTCGGTACAGGCAGCGCGGAAACCGGCGTCAAGCGAGCGGAGGTGAGTCACTAGGTCGGAAACAGTCGCAAACGAGCCTAGGTCGGGAAACACAAACGGCATGAGGAGGCGACTGAGGGAGGCAGAGGAGGGGGTGGAGTTGCGAGCAACAATAGCCTCCCAAACCCCCTGTGCAGTCTCCACCTGGTCAAAGTGGGCGGCCTCAGTCGGGGGGAGAAGCTCCGACAGAGTGAGAGCGGCGGCTGCGTCACGCGAGAGCCACACGTCCCTGGCCAGGACCCGACGGTCGTAGTCCGCCTGGGCCGTAGGGGTCGGCTCCGGGGCGGTCGGCAGGGCGGCGGGGGACGGGGGGGCCTGTAGCGCACCAGACGCGTGAGCCCACAGAGTGGCGCCGTCCTGCCGCTGGCTGGTGAGGAAGCGCGTGGTCTGGCGCTGCCAGGTGCTAAACTCTATCGGGCGTCCCTTCGCGTCGAAACGGAGGCGACGAGACTCCATGACTGATGCCATGCTAGAGGCGGCTGGAGCTCGGCAGAGGCTGAGCTAAGAACGAGGAGGAAACCTACGGAGCGCCAGGAGGGAGAACGGCAGAGTGAGAGGCTAGGAGCACTGAGTGACCTAGGCTAGGCGTGAAACGGAGGATCTCCAGCTACAACGGCTAGGGGCGCGATACTAGCGGCTAAACGGCTCGAACCTAGGCGGGCGGCGAGAGAGAGCGGCTGCCAGCCGCTAGGTGATAGACCAGTGTCAGTAGAGCTGGGGAGGGCCCCGCGCACAAGGCGGTGGCGGGGCTAGGGCGCGTGCCAAGGGTGGGTAACAGGAAGAGAGGGGCGGGGGGGGGAGTTTGCGACGGTGGAAATGGGCGGGGAGGGCGGTTTTGACGGTGGGAATGGGCGGGTAGGGCGGTTTTGACGGTGGGAATGGGCGGGAGGGCGGTTTTGACGGTGGGAATGGGCGGGAGGGCGGTTTTGACGGTGGGAATGGGCGGGGAGGGCGGTTTGACGGTGGGAATACGGGCTAGGTCGAAGGCTGGGGCGACGGGCTAGGGTGTACGGGCCTCGCGTGGGCAACGGGCAGGGCGCACGGGCGCCGCGACGGGCTGGGGCAGAGCCTACGGGCGTCGCGACGGGCTGGGGCAGAGCCTACGGGCGTCGTGACGGGCTGGGGCAGAGCCTACGGGCGTCGCGACGGGCTGGGGCAGAGCCTACGGGCGTCGCGACGGGCTGGGGCAGAGCCTACGGGCGTCGCGACGGGCTGGGGCAGAGCCTACGGGCGTCGCGACGGGCTGGGGCAGAGCCTACGGGCGTCGCGACGGGCTGGGGCAGAGCCTACGGGCGTCGCGACGGGCTGGGGCAGAGCCTACGGGCGTCGGGACGGGCTGGGGCAGAGCCTACGGGCGTCGCGACGGGCTGGGGCAGAGCCTACGGGCGTCGCGACGGGCTGGGGCAGAGCCTACGGGCGTCGCGCGGGCTAGGGGCAGGGCGCGGGCTAGGCGCGGAGGGTGGAGTGGCGCGGTTTAGGCGCGGAGGCACAATGGGTGCGGAGGTGCGAGCTAAGCGCGGAGGGCGCGGAGGGCGCGGAGGGCGCGAGCTAGGCGCGGAGGGCGCGGAGGGTGAACACTAGGCTAGGAACGGGCTAGGAACGGTCCTGCTCGTGATACCATCTTAAGAGTGGTTAGCAACGGAATGGTTGGAATAGAAACGAATGGGGTACAAATAAGCAACCCTAGAAACTGTACCCCCTAGAGTGCAACTCACTACAGCCTATCATGTCAAATGTTCAACATTTGACACTATGAACTGATGAGCAGGGACCGTAGGTAGAACATCCATCAGCTGGACATTAACATGTTACGCATAGAGCTACTGCATCTGCGTCTACACTAATCAAGTGGCCACACTCTTCCTTGCAGCTGTGAGAATCTTATGCAGCTCCAGGGCTTCAGGCGGCGACCCTTTCTTCGCAGCCATCTTCGCCACCGGAAACAGCGCCCCATCGTTCAGCAAAAACGCAGGCGTAACCACGCCGGTGGTAACCAGATGGTACAATGCAAACAGGGCCTCTTCCTGTGCACGTTCCGACTCACTCTCCAGCACATCCAGCATCACCAGCGTCCCCTCCACCTCTAGCAAAGCTGCCTGTCCCTCCTTGGACTTCACCAGATTCGCCAACACAGCCATGGCCTTCTCTTCCACTCCCGGCCGCTTGTCTGACAGAGAATCCACCAGCACGCTCACCCCGCCTTCCCGGATTATCTCATCGGCACAGTCCGGGTCGTCTGAGAGGGCAAAGAGAGCGAGAGCCGCGTCTTTCCGGCACCGAGCGGCTTCTAACTTGAGCAGCTTCAGCAGCGGAGGGATGCCGCCGCATCGGAGAATCTTGTTCCGGTACCTGCTGCTCCTCCTCCTCCTCCTCCCGTCCTCATCCTCCTTGTCATCATCGTCACACGTGGCAATCGCAAACAGCGCCGCCGCTGCGTTCGATCGCACCGACTCCGAAAACTTGCTAGCTGCACCGTCATCAGCCCCTTTCGGGCTGCCCCCATCCCTCCCTCCACCCTTTTTTCTGCACTTGCCATCAACTAAATCCACGAGAACTCCCACTCCCCCAACATCCACCACCTCTAGAGCCCCATCGTAAGACTGTGTCAGCTGAAGAATCACCGACACAGCACAGTCTAGCACAGCCGGAGCATCCATCCGGCTCTCCCTGCTCGCCCCTTCACTCCCAGATGCTACCAACGCTGATGAATCCTCCACCAGATCCACCAGAATCGGTATCCCGTCGGACCGGTTCACCACGCGCCGCCGCGCCTCGGAACTTTCTTTCAGGGCAGACCGGAGCCGCATGATCCCCTCTTCCCGGTCAGCCGACGAGCCCCGGTCGATCGCATCTAGCATGTCATCTATAGTCCGCATGGATCGAGACGAGGACGACAGGGACGGTCTAGGCGACGACGATGACGTGGACGAAGGGGAGGATAGCGGCGGGCGAGACCTAGGTGAACTAGCCGTGATGCTGCTGCTACCAGTCCTGTCCTTCCCACTGCCCGTCGCCCCACCGGCACCCCCTAGCCGCGTTTTATCTCTGGTTGGCCGGGGCTGGGGCGGCAGGTTCCTCGCTCCAGCCCCACTACTGGGCTTTTTAAGAGGAGACGAAGCAGCGCCTGAGCCTCTGTGCCTTGACCCGCTGCCTTCCTTGGCTCCTGCAGCCGAGGGGTTGGCAGGGGAGGTGAGCTGGCGCTCGAATGAAGTGCTACCGGCAGGGGACCCTGGTGGTTCTTGCCCTTCTCTCGTCCGCTCGTCTAGACTCATCGTTCTCCTGTCCGCCCATGCTTCCGGACCCGCTCCTTCCCCTTCCGCCCCGGCCCCTTCCGCTGCGCCCACTGCGTCCGCGCCTTCACCTTCCGCCTTCCCCGCTCCCCCCTCTGCGTCTCCTGCACCCCCTTCCGCTGCCGTTGCTGTTGTTGCTGCTGCTGCTCCTTCCCCTGATGCTGCACCCTCCCCTACTCCTGCTGCTGGTTCACCTGTGCCTTCCACAGCAGCCGATTCTTTCCCCGAAGCTTCCGCTGCCTCCCCTGCTTTCTCCTCTGCCTCTTTTTTCCCCATTCTCCCCACGTCCCTATCGCCTCTCCCCGCCACGCGTGGCCCAGCCCTTCCCTGGCCTCTCCCGCCTCCTCTCCCCCCTCGGTCCGAAGGAGGGCGCCTAGGAGAATTCATACTGTCATCATCCCTTCCCCTACCCCTCTCCCTCTCCCATCCTCTCTCCCTGTCCCTCTCTCCATACCTGTCCCTGTCCCTATCCCTCTCGCGATCCCTGTCTCTATCCGGTTCCCGCGCTCTATCTCTGTCCCGGTCCCTGTCGCGATCTCTGTCCCTATACCCATCTCTGTTTCTATCGCGGTGTCCTTCCCCGTCCCTATCGGAATCGCTATCCCGCTCCCGGTCTCTATAACCATCCTTCCCTCGTTCCCGCGCGGTGCCTCCTCCTCCGCCTGCCCCTCCCCCTCTCCCCCGTTGCCGCGACAGCAGCTGCGCCGCCACACGCCCTGTGCGCGCTCTCCTCTCCTCCTCACTCCGCGGCTGCAGCCGACTACCTCCGCCGCCCCCCCTTCCCCCGCCACTCCCCCTGCCCCGCCGGTCCTCGTCCTCGCTATAAGCCTCTCGCGTACGCGATCCAGTCCGCCCACTCCCCCTATCAGACCCGCTATCCTCGTCCCTCTCTCGATCCCCCGGTCCCCTCCGCCTCCCGTTCCCCGCGCTAGCGGACCGCTGCATGTGGGGCTGAGATTCGTCCGCGTCATCATAGTCATCTCCAGGTCGGCCCCGTCTCGGGCCATCCCTGTATCCTCCGCCGCCGCCGCTCCCGCCGCCTCTCCCGCCCGGGCTGCCGCGGCTAGACGACGTCGGAGACGGTTCCTCGTCCTGCGCGCGAACTTGCGCGGCAAGCTCCTCCTCGAGGCCTTCCGGGAGAGGCGCGAGATCGAGATCGTGTTTTTCGCACCACTCGGCGATGAGGGCTTTAAGAGCGACGTTCGGGAAGAACTCGGTGTGGTCGAGTTTCATGCCGCTTTTAGGGCAGACGCGCCGGCCTGCTGCGAACCATACTTTGATCAGATCGCGCTCGTAGCTGAGTCCTGACGCGATGATTACGGGATCGCGCATTATGTCGTCAGATAAGGGACAGATGAACTCGAGGGGAACCTCAAGATCGTCCTCCTCTTCAGCTTCCGCCATTGTTATAATAGACAGTGGATACTATAAGGTAATAATAGCTAACTTGGATGCGGTTCCTACCTGCAGGATTAGAAGCTAGAACGAATATACTCCGATCGGAACGACGTGTTAGGGAACCTGAAAATGAGTGTTAAGGTACCACGACTACCAGAAACTAGGGTTACGTTGGGGGGAACATAACTTAGGCGAGCAACAACTTACATAACCACTAGTTAGCAGTCTCCTGCTGGGACACCCTAACGAAAATGCAGTGATAGTATCGAATACCTTTCAGCGCTGAGAAAAAAAGCCTATAGCGACTGGCTCATCATCAAAGTATGCTAAGCTTTTCAAGCGAGCCGTTGGTGCACAAATGGTTGGTTGTTGCAGCCTAGCTACCCTTCAAGAAAGACGAACCAACATTGAGATTGCCGAAGCCCCTGTGCCGGCCCGGCGGGAAATAGCGGGCAGGGGCAGGGACAAGGCCGGTCGCCCAGTGTGGCTCTTCATCGCTGAGTGGCTGCCTGGCGGAGTGTTGGTGCAACAAGTGGCGCGAGGTTCCCCCGCCAGTCCAGTTCCCCGTCCCTCTCCCGCCTCAACCAGCCCGCGGCAGTGCGTTGCAGGACGAACGTGCTGGCGGAACTTCGTGCGGAGATCTCTAGGTTTGCGGGAAGGTTCGAGGGTGAGGGAAAGTGGGGGCCCAGATTGGATAGCCGTTGAGGTCAAGCAGTTGCCTTGCGCACTTTTCGGTTTGTCAGAAACGCTGGTTACCGTAATGAGCTCGCCATTTTTTAGCACACGCCTTCCAGCCCAGTAGAAGACTGTCTCCATTCGAAATGGTATTTTCTGGGGGTATTTCGGGTGCACACCCTAGGACGCAGTCTGATTTGCTCACAAAATGATCATTTTCCAGAAATGAAGGCGCGAAGGTTTCAAACACAACTGGCGAATCCCGCCAGTTTCGTGCAAGGTTCGGTTGGGGGGTATTTTTTTTGTGAGGTTGGGGTTGTATTGGCGATTTCGCCACAACCTGCAACCAATCGAGGTTGGGGAGGAGATTGGAGCGAAAACTGTATGCTAATCCTGAGCAGGCCAATTTTCAGAGGGGGGGTTGGGTTGTCACAAAGCAGTTGTTACGATATGAAACTTTACGAGAAGGCATTCATGTATGCTGCAGGGGCCAAGTCTAAAGTGTATGAAGCCGAGGAGTCAGAAGAGTCGAAGCGACACTGGTAACCGTCTGATCAAGACCGATGCAGGCAGAAACATCCGAAGTGAAAAGAGCGGGAACAGGTTTGAAACGGGTTCCCGCGCCGCACGGTTTGAACCTCGCTGTTATAAGGGAATGTACCCCTTAGAGTACATGGCTAGTCTAGATCTTTTCGTATTCCTTTGTATTTCCTATATAAACCCAATGTATGCATACTATTATCAATCTCAGTCATTTACATTCACTCTGACCTGAGTTCACTACTTCCGCTGCAACACTACCCTGCGATCAACCCTGCGCGATCCTTCGCTAAGTCCCACTTGGGATTGTAACATGGTATGAGAGCTACTCATGGATTCTTCGCAACTTCACTTCCGTGAAATTTGCAGAATCAAGATCTGGCGAGCGGCACACGCTCCAAGACCAAGATGGCCGGAGGATACGGAGGCCAAGCGAATCTGACGGCCGAAGGACAAACCAACCCGGCTGCGACAAATGAGGCTGTCAGAATGTTGTATTTGTCTAGCCTGCAGTGGGGTACTCTATAGCGAGTACAGCCCAAATTAGGGTTTGCTATATGTACTCAACTGCCTGCTAGTGAAACCCCTCTTTCGTGTTCTATCTTTCTGCCTACTATTTCTGACATGGTATCAGAGCGGTCACGCTCCTAGCCTGTGGGCCCACCGTTAGCTTCCGCTGCTGTCCTGTCTGTCGCGCGCCCCGTGGCGCGCGACGTTTTTTCTTCCCGCCACGCGCTCCTGGCGCATGGCGGTTTTCTGCCCGCCGAGCGCTCGGGGCGCGCGGCGATTTTCTGCCCGCCGTGCGCCCCGAGGCGCGCGGCGGTTTCCTGCCCCGTCGACCAGCGCGTCGCCCCCCCCGTCGCCCGTCGAAGCGCCCCCGGGGACCCGTGCGCCGCCCCCCCCCTCCCGTCGCCTTGTCGCGGCGCCCTGGGGGCCCGCGCGCCGTCCCCTCCCGTCGCCTCGTCGCGGCACCTTGGGGGCCCGCGCGTCGCCCCCTCCCGTCGCCTTGTCGCGGCGCCCAGGAGGCCTGCGCGCCGTCCCCTCCCGTCGCCTCGTCGGCACCTTGGGGGCCCGCGCGCCGCCCCCTCCCGTCGCCTCGTCGCGGCGCCTTGGGGGCCCGCGCGTCGCCCCCTCCCGTCGCCTCGTCGCGGCGCCTTGGGGGCCCGCGCGTCGCCCCCCTCCCGTCGCCCGTCAAAGCGCCCTGGGGGCCCGCGCGCAGCCCCTCCCGTCGCCCGTCGAGGCGCCCTCGGGGGCCCGCGCGCGGCCCCCCTCCCGTCACCCGCCGTGGCGCCCTCGGGGGGCCCGCGCGCTGCCCTTCTGCAGCTCGCGAGCCGCCCCTACAGCCCGAGAGCCGCCCCACCAGCCCACGAGCCGCCCCTGCAGCCCGCGCGTGCTGCCCTGTGGAGCCGCGCACCGCTCCCTGCCCTCGTGCAACTGCGCGGTGCCGATTCTGGGGGTGGCGGGTGTGTGTGCGTCGCCACTCGCTCCTCCTCCTCCTCCGTCTCCCACTACTGCAGCTGCCGCTGAGGGGGGTGGATGTGTGGGAGCCGGAGGAGTGGCGCTGAGGGGGTGCCGTGGGAGTGGAGCTAGGGGTGCAGCAGTGGGTGAGTGAAAGGGGTGTGGGACAGCTGGGGGAGGTCGAGTGGAGGCAGCCGTCTTGTCGTCCGCAGCGCCAGTAGTCCGGAGGCTACAATCTCCGGTAGTCGCCAGTCGCCCGTGGGTCAGTTGCTCCAGCCGCCAGTAGTCCGGAGGCTACAATCTCCGGCGTAGCCGCGGAGCCAGTTACTCCTGAAGTCCGGGCCTTTGCTTCGGTAGCCACTGAGCCAGCCGCTACAGTGTGTCTGCAGCTTCAGCCGTCGCCTCCCATCTTCTCGCCCCCACAGTCTCTCCTCCTCCTCACTTGCCCTCTGTGATAGCCTCTAGCTTTGCTTATCATTGTGAACTATTGCTCTGCATGCTTATTGTACTGATTACACCCCACTTTGTATATGGGGATGTGTCAGAATGTTGTATTTGTCTAGCCTGCAGTGGGGTACTCTATAGCGAGTACAGCCCAAATTAGGGTTTGCTATATGTACTCAACTGCCTACTATTTCTGACAGAGGCGACAACCACGATCAGCACTACCGCACTCGAGCAGTTGTTTTCGCGACTATCAACTATGGAGAAAGACCTCCAAGAACTGCGCAAAGGCGATGCGGGAACCTCTTCCCAACCAGTACAACCTGGACAACCGGCTACGAAAAGCCGCGATACCGCCGCGCACACCTTCTCCCTCGACACAGACAAATCAACAACAAGTGCCCCCCGTCCAAGTGACGAAGTTATCAACTCAGCGCAAGCACGCTTTCTAAGCGTTTCAAAAATCAAGACTACTGCCGCGTTTGACGGCAAAGACTTTTACACCTGGAGTTTCGAGCTTGAGCTCCTCCTACAAACAGCGCAGATCTACCACTATTTCGACGGCTCCTACTCTAAACCGGTGGAAGACACCGACGACTCCAGGGCTCAGTACTACAGCGAGTCCCTCATGGTGTACAGTATGCTGCTACGCAATATGACGCCTGCGGAGCAACTCAGCATTCGCTCCTACAAAGAGAGCGCCGCTCCAGCCCTGGAAGCTTGGAAGCACCTCGTTGAGGTATATCAACCGAAGGATTCGGTCACCGCCAGCAGGCTCTTGCAGCAACTCATGGAGACCAAGATGGGGCACGGGGAGAAAGCAAACTCATACATTAACCGCTGTCGGAACATCCGTGAACAAATCACGAAGCATGGAAGCGCAATTTCGGAGGAGATCTTCGTCAATATCGTCCTCCAAGGTCTCGGGCCGAGTGGAAGCCCTGCAAAGCGCTACTCCGACAACGTGGAATTATCTCTGAAGCCGCGCTATGCGCCGCCCTCCTGACTGATCAGCAGGACATGGACTCGAGCAGGACAAGCTCCGCGCCGCGCCGAGAGCGCCTCGCCTTCTACACAGACAACCATGAAGAGCGACGACAACCAAGGCGCCATTATTGGAAAATATGCAAAGTCTTCGGACATTCAACGGATCGATGCAAATCCCGATCCAACTATCGCCACCCGAATTCCACTCACCACAACAACTGGGTCGGCCGACAAGACGCTCGTCATTCTCAGCCCCAGCATCAAACCTCTCGTCCCCCTGCACAGCACCAACAACAGCAAGTACAAGGACCTCAAGCAGGAGCTCCTAGAAACGTGATCGCGAATATGGCGGCAAGACGTCGCCCTCTCGCTGCTGAACCAGACGAAGAGGACGAACTACGCGGCGGGCTCATTCAACATGAAGAAAGGTGGAACAACCCCTTCACGGAAGATCACGACTACAAGTATGACGAAGACGAGCAAGATTGGCATCAGCCAATACAGCTGCGGGAAAGCCCGCCTCACGAGCATCAGCGCTTCGTACCTGTGGGATGGAAGGAGGACGAAGACACATAGGTAGCGGGGGCGCGGCTGATGTTCGAGACATATCGAACAGATCCCACCATGTGTTGGCCGCAGCAACTGTCTAGGTACCAGGTGTTGTAATTGTCGGTGTTGTTGTTGCGCAAAAGTAGCGCGAGTCGCGGAGTCACCAGTGTCGCTTTGAAGCGTCTGTGGAACACAACGAGCAACTGCGCGCCAACGCGCAAGGCATCGTGGTGCTACAAGCACGGGATAGCAACACCCACATCTCCTTTAACGACGTACTCTTCGTACCAGACCTCCGCTTCAACTTGCTCTCGGTAGGACAGCTCCGAGACTGCGGACTCATGCTCGCCACG